TCTCCCCAATATCCCTTTTGCCAGCAGCTGACATGGGTTGACTGCTCTTCGCAATAATTTCTCCCATATTAAGTCAAACCGCAGCGACAAACAAACCGACAGACTAAGTCAAGGTCGGCAACTTGAAATATTATCACAAGAAGCTTCTTAGAAAGTGGTGACCAAATGTTCATTTCACTTGGACCACCTAGTCCAACCAATGTTACTATATTAAAATCATATCATGTAACCTTTGCTTGTTATGACATTGATGTTTTCTAGTATTATTCATGTCTCATTACTTCCTTTTTTTTTTTTTTCAAATTTTTTAATATTAATTTGACAATGATAACGTGATAATAATTAAATATTTTTTTTATATTTGTTATGATGTTATTAGATATCATGTTACATTAATAATTTAATTAATAGTGTTAATTTAAAATATTAAAATATACGATAAAATAAAAGTTTAGATATCTAATTATAAATTTTATTTATTTAAATATTAAATTGATAAAAAAAAATATAATACAAAAACTATTTTTATATTTAATCTTTTTTTTTACTTTTCATTAACTCCAAACGTAGGCCACTTTTGCAATTTAATTAACTCTTGCTGAAGGGACTACATGTGCTAGATTCAAAAATTAAGGTAAAGAAAGAAAAAAGTATTTTTAATTGTAAAAGAAAAGAGAATCATAGTTTAATAGATTTTATATAATTTTCAGCATTTTATATATATAGATTTTATATATATATATATATATTTATATATATAGTTTAATATATATATCTTTAATATATATATATATATATGTCAATAATTATGTACATTGGTCAAAGACACTTTAATTAACAACTCTTTAGCTCCTTGAATAGCTAAGCTATTCCTGAGGGAGGGATAGTCAGGAATCTAACAGTTATAGAATAAAGAATCCACGGAACAACAATTTTTTTAATGCAAAAATAAATCAAACAATTGAATGACCCTCCCATTAAGAATAGAGCTGGAGTGAAAAGGCCTTTCCAGTGAATCAAAACAAAAAGCATTTGGAGTGACACAAAATTAATTGATAAAACACGTTTCCACGTCCCGTTGATAGGAAAGTAGTGTGAAAAATCCGCAAACAAATATTATAATAATATAAAATGAAAAGACAAAATCCAAGTAACTTCCCACATACTTATCCAAGCAATTTTAATAATATGTGGAGGCCACCAAAGTCAATCCTTATCCGCAAGCCCAACATTCACATGTTAGCTGCTTCATTTTGAATCAGTTTCAGCCGCAAATTACCTTTTTTATTTTTTTTATTTCCACTTTCACATTTTAAATAGCTTTAAAACGTCTTTTTCTTAAGCAAAAAAAAAAAAAGTTTGTATTTAAGGTCCAAACTGACATTATTAATAGTAATTAGTGCTGAAAATTTAGGATCAATAAACAATTTTGTTTTGTGTGATGATGAGATATATATGATTTCCCAATCAAGTACGCGACATAAACGGCCACTTATCCCCGCATATAAAGTTTTCGAGGCATTGGGTTGACAGACAGACGTGTTCAGATTTCGGTTTCACCAAAAAGAGGGATGACGTTTTCTTTATTATGTCACTGCCGCTTTGATATTCCATTCCCAACGTTGAATTTTTCAAAAGCCGCTGCACCACATTCCCCCCCCAGCGCTTCGCCTCCATGCAATAATTCATCCCCTCTCTCTTTTCCTTTACTAATTTATGTTAAACTATAAATTATATTTAAACATTATTTTACTTAAAAATAATATATTATTTACATTTTTTTTCTTAAATATCACTTTAACCAATACTATTAGAATCCGTTTAATCTTTCTCTTAACTTCTTTATTTATTTATCAACACAATTACAGGTTAGATGCATAAGAACTTTCATGGTAAAGTTCACTCGAGTCTTCACTAACCAACAATAATTATGTTATGTACAGTTAGTCCCATATATTAGAAGATTCATTTTTTCTTTTTATTTTAAAGATCTTATTACATTAATTTTTATTTTTTAAAAATAATAATATCTTTAAAATATATCACTTATAATTATTACATTATAATTAATTACTTATTATTAAAAATTGTTTAAAGTTTATCAAAATTTTATATAGAACTCACATTATAAGTGTAAATTATATAATTTTTTTTATGATTGAATAATTTTAGGATTGTAAAAATTATAAGATTGGATATTATGAATTAAAAATTTTAAAATAAAATGAACTAAAATCTAATTTTTTTTATAAAAACTTTGGGATGAAAGAATAATAATTATCAAAAGCAGATTTTTTTTAATTGGTAAAATCGTCTATTTAGATATGTATATTTATTTGGAGTAAGATGAATTTATTCTCCATTGAGAAAAATTGGATGATAGGATAGATTATGGTAGATTTTGTAATTTAAAACATGAGACAATAACATGAAATGAAAATTATACAAATAAAGGATATGAAGATAATACGGTTTAAAATTAAAAAAATATATATAAATAGGTTTAATAAAATAAAAAAATTATATTTTATATTTTTATGCTGACACGAACTGTAACACATGATTTTCATGTAAAACATGATACAAATATAACATTTTACACGACACGATAACATAAATTATCAGGTCTAATTTATGGGTGTGACAATATTAACGTGGCATCGAGTGATAACATGATAAGCAGGAAAAAAGTGGAAGTGGAAGGTATAAAAGTTTCGGATTCATTTAGATGGGTGATGAGATTGGTTTCGATAATATTAAAAATTATGATAAAGTTAAGATTAGTTATTGTAATAATGAACTTAAAATCAATATTAGAGATATACGTTTAGATGAAATAAGTTGCAGTGAAAAAAGAAATGATTATTGAGGTTATTAGCTAAAACTTATATGCAATGAAATCATGATATAATAATAAATTTAATTTGTTTATTAATTTATTATATAATAACAAATTTTATTTATTATATTAAACTAATAAAATCATTTCATAATTTTAAATAAAATATAAAAAGAAAAAAAATAAAAATTAAATGGTAAAGACATTTTTGTCTATGTAATATAAAATGAAGTGTAAAAAGAAAAAAAAAAAAAGGTAGGGTGCTTTTAAACACACCTTCATTAATGCTATTTATACCCATTTTTTTATAAGATTGTCTTTAAGAAAAATTACTAAATTATTCTTTGGCAAATTATTTTTGACCCTTTATACACCATTTTATTCTCTTCTCTCAAAACATCCGGATATCCAAAAGAAATGTTATATTATTGGATGTGGATATTCGATAATTTTTTTATAATATCTAATATACATATCCGATAATGTAAATTGACTTTCAAATATGCATATATATATATAGCAAATATTTTAATTTATTGGAAATGCATATTTGGAAACAATTATAAATGATAAAATACGCAATTTTAATAACATAAAGAACTTATCAGATATGTATATTTGAAAATATTCAAAATCTACCGAATATGCATATTTGATAACAAGATCATTTTAATGCCGTTTTATGTTATATGTTAGAACAATTTTGAAACATTTAGCAGGTTCTTAAATATACATAAATAATTTGTACAATTATATGTAGATAACTATTGATTTTTATATTTAACATAAAATTAAAAATGTTTTAAATTACAAAATTAATTTTTTTGTACAAATAGGTAAATAAAGTTGTAATCCCTCATCTTCTTGTTTTGTAAATAAACACATTTAAATTTAACAGAATGGTTGTTCATGAGATGATTGTTAAGACAAGCATTTGTCACTTCACGGAATTTGATTTTTATCTCAAATAGTTTAGCCAGTAAGTAAACTCACTCATTATCATGTCTTACATGATGAAAAGAATTTTCAAATCAAACATCTTGAGTGCCAATGTCTACACAGTAAAATCTTTTTCATCACACAAAATATGGTAATGAGTGAGCTTACTGATTCTTCTTTTGTTTGCGCCTTATCTGTTGTGACATAGAATAAAAGATCAAACATTCAACCAATTTATTCAAAAGAATTTAACAAAATATTTGTTTTTTTGAATTGGCATTTTCAAAAACTTTTAATAACTTTTGAAATTTAAAATATGGTAATTTACAAAATTTTTAAAAATGGAAGGTATCCAGATTTTGGATTTTTAAAAACTTTTGAAACCTTTTGAATTTGTAAATCCAAAAGATTTTACAAGTTTTCAAAAATACAATTTTGGAATTGATGATTTCATTAAAAGAAAATACTCAATACCAAATTTTAATTTAACTAACATTTAACCAAAACCAAACGAAATCAAATACAACATATCTCTCGGTGACTTGATTAACTCTGAAATTTTATGAATTTAGGGTGAATCGTTGATTTGTGAAATATGATGAGAGTTTAAGGTTAGAGTAAATCGGTTTAGGGTTTGAAATGGGATGAGTAGTCAAGTGCGAGGATGCGAGGGGTGTTTAAGAAAAAAAATGTGTTTTGATTTATGTGTGTAATGAGTAAAAATTAGATTTTATATTTTGATTTATGTGCGGGATATATTTAGCAACGTGTCGTGTAAAATATTTTTTAATATAAATAAAAATACCAAAAAAAAAAAAGTGAGCATTGTTACCTCACTGTACCAAAATCCACCAAAGAAAAATTGGAGATTAAAGTCCGAACAGTACCGCAACTTTAACGTCAAAATAGATGTGTGGTGGCTTTTAAAAGGTTTTTAAGGGTGTAATCGTATCTCATCCGTGAGATTGCATCCAAATGGACTCTTAGAGGGTAATCCAACGACAGTCAAGGATGATGAAGAGGCACTGAGTCCACCTATGGAAAAGTCCAAAGCCCGTGACGGAAGCCATGACAAAATCGATCTTCACCAATAGGACCACATCCACGTGCCGCACCCTGTCCATTTGTCTACGGGCTGCGGTCAGCTACGAAGAGAAAACTGTCGCTGCGTTGCTTAACCTATCAGCCCGCACGTGTCTATTTCCCCTATAAAATCTTTGCTCTACTTGTTCTCTTGGGTTCAATTCAACTTTCATCCTCCAACGAAGCAGCAAAGCAAAGCAAAGCGAAGCCGCCAAAAGAAGAACACAAACAGAGAAGAAGAAAAAGGCAAATTTCGTGTTCTGTAATTTTTGAGAATGAAGGGGGAGTTAGAGTTGCCACCGGGTTTCAGATTTCACCCTACAGATGATGAGTTAGTGAATCATTATTTGTGTAGGAAATGTTCATCTCAGCCAATTGCTGTGCCCATTATTGCTGAGATTGATCTCTACAAGTTTGATCCATGGAAGCTTCCAGGTAACTCTTTCTTTTTTCTTCTTCTTCTAATTTTACATGGTTGATTTCTTTGGTTTTAGGAAATGGGTATCTGGGATTTGATTGATTTCACCATTAATAGTAATGGGCATTCCATTTTTCACAAAAGAAAATGGATGAAAAAGAAAAAGAATCCAATCATTTGATTGATTCGTTTGTTAAGTGATTTATTTGATTTTGAAATTTGAAACCAAAAAAAAAATTCAATCAACTTTCTAAATTGAGATTGGGTTTCTTTTTTTAAATTTTATTTTGGGGTTAATTATTGAGAGAGTATTAATTAACTAATTAATTAGTTTTATGTTTGGTGTAGATATGGCATTATACGGTGAAAAAGAGTGGTATTTCTTTTCTCCAAGGGACCGCAAATATCCAAACGGAAGTCGGCCGAACAGGGCGGCTGGAAACGGATATTGGAAGGCAACCGGGGCGGACAAGCCCATTGGGAAGCCCAAGCCACAGGCCGTCAAGAAGGCACTCGTTTTCTACGCTGGCAAAGCCCCACACGGTGTCAAAACCAATTGGATCATGCATGAATACCGCCTTGCCAACGTTGATCGCTCCGCTGGCAAGAAGACCAACTTGAGGGTAACTTCATTCTTTCTTAATTATTTTATTGGTACGTTTATATATATATATGATAATGGGTTTATAGATATGCAATTTGCACATAACCCCATTTTGATTTGACCAACGAAGTCCAATTTTTAGCTGTTCACTTGTATTTTTAGCCTATTGGCAGTTTTTTTTTTAATTATTTTTTTATCACTTTTTTCTAAAACGGTTGTTGGCTTGTTTTTATTGCAGCTTGATGATTGGGTCTTATGTCGAATATACAACAAGAAAGGAAGCATAGAGAAACATTTCCCAAGTGAACAAAAAAGATTAAATCACCCAGAAATGGAAGATCAGAAACCAAACATTTTATTGAATGGTCAAAATAAGACGACAGCACTGTCTCAACAACAACAACCTTCATCAATGTACATGATGAGTGATCTCTTAGAAACGGATGCTTCAGATTCTGTCCCAAGGTTGCATGCAGACTCAAGTTCCTCGGAGCACGTGCTTTCCCCTGAAATCACGTGCGAGAAAGAGGTCCAGAGTGAGCCCAAGTGGAATGAGCTAAGCAATGGCGTTGATTTTCAGTTCAATTACATGGATGGATTCCAAGATGACCTCTTTGCAAGTCAATTTCAGTTCCAGATGGACCAGCTTTCACCTTTGCAGGACATGTTCATGTTTCAACAGAAGCCATTTTAAACAACACAGACCCTAAAACAAAAACATGGTCCTTTTTGTGGGATCCAAAACATTTTTTTATTTCATGTTAAACACACTTGCAAGTGACATTTTAAGTCTTAGGAATCAAACAAAACAACTTGTCAAATTCAATTGGTGGGGGGCTAACAAGTGCTAGAGCAGAGCACAGCATAGCCTTGACCAAAGAGATTTTAGCATAAAATTGGGAGGTAAAATGTTGACGGATTGGGTTCATATTCTGGACTGGTTGGGTGATCAATGGCACCTCTAAAGTTTCCCTCAAGTGGATGGTTAATGAGATTTTAGGAAATTCTTGCATCTGTAAGATTGATTTGTAGAAGAACTTTTGGTAAAAAAAAAATTATGAATATATGAAATACTATATTGCTATTTAAGAATGGGATAGATTGAATTTTCAATTGCATTAATAGTCCATTATGTTGCTTTTCTGTTGGAAAGCCATAATCTGGATACTGAATGTTGGACAATTTGAATTGTTATCAACCTGCCAAGTCAGCATTCATTGACCGTCATATTAACAATTATCTCAATTGATCGAAAACTTAATCATTATTAATATCAATCTATTATAAAAGATAAGATCAAAACACATGTATCTTATTCTGAATTAGTTGAGATGGTCAGTTGGTCGCTAACATGATAGTCAATGAATGTTAGTTTGGTAATCAAGATCTTGACAAAACAAAAAGTTTTAAGACTATCTTCAATTATGATTTCTTTGTTTGATTTTGGGCAAGGGGACTCAAACTTGACTATTTGAGGATGATAATATATGAACCTATAATTTATGTTACATGGACTAGGGATAGGGTGTCAAAAACGAGTATGTATTTGATATGGGTATACTTTTTATAATTTTTATATTAACTAGCAATATGCTTGTGCGATGTTGTAGGTTCAAATTTTTTTATTTCTAGTTAATAATGTTTATGATGAATTTAATAAATCAGTAACTATAATTCTGTTTATAATTTTCATTAAAAGCAATGATTAGTGAAAATTTATCAATTAATTTATGGATAATATATATATTTATTCTCATAACTTATATAACAAACAAAATCTATATTAATTCTTTCAAATTTATCTTTACAAACATAGTTAAAAAAGTCTTAAAATAGAGAGTTAAAAAAAATTAAAACTAAAAAAAGGAAAAGATACAGTAAAAAAAAAAAGTAAAATGAGTCAATTAGGGGGGCCACGGGAATACTTCTTCTTAGGAATGACAATGTATCGGATAGGGATGAATTTATACTTATCCTGACTCTAATCATATATTAGATTATTATTTGTTACAACTAACCTTGATTCAACATATATATAAATATATAATCTGCATTCGATTTGATTTGAAAAAAAAAATTTAATAATATAACTTTCATGAAAATATTATATTTTATATAAATTACATTTAAATTATATAAATATAATATTTTATTAAATTAAGGTATTAAATAATACCCATTTCATCTCAAAATATTTGTCATGTATTGATTTTTACGGAGTTTAAAAAAATTTTTAACTTTAATGAATTTAATATTAAAATTTTAAAATTTTTTTATAAAATTAAAGTTCTATGATTTTTTAATGTCAAAATGTAAAAAAAATTATAAAAAAATAGTTTTAAAATATAAAAAAAAGAGTTTTAAATGTTCAAAAAAGGAAATATGACATAATTTTGAGACATTCCAAAAAAAAATGGATAAAAAAAGGTATAAATGGAGTAACTATTAATATAATACATATATATAAATATAAAATTAAATAAATAATACCATATATTCTTATATATACTTGAGAACAAGGTGGGTAGAGCACCCTAAATCCATCTTCAATCTGACCTCAATTCTCCAAAAAAAAAAAAAAAAAAACCCCACCATGCACAACCCGATTTTTATTTTAAAAGAATCATCTCTATTGAATCGATGGCTCGAAAGTTGTTTGATACGGGTTATTTAGCTATCATAACCTTCATTGTTCCCGGTTTTTATAAAATTTATCTCATTAAAAAGAAGGCAAAACAAAAAAAAAAAAACCAAATGTAAGTATCATGTTGATATTTTGATTGCTTATTTATTTTTTCAAATATAGATAAGAAATACTAAAAAGATAATTAAAAGAGACTAAGAAAGCCAAAACAAAACAAGAAAGCTCTCAAGAAAAAAAAATCAAATGGGGTGTTACATGAGCACTTCATTTAAGGAAGGCGATGAGGCAAGTTCGGATAGGTTTATACTCATCTCGACTTTAACCATTTTTTAATAATTATTTTGATTTGACATGAAGTTATTATTTTTTTATGGCCAATCTCAACCTGACACATAAATTTATAACTCACATTCAACCCACATTAATCCAAAATTAATTAAATAGTTTAAATTTAGTATAATGTTCATAAAAAATTTTAGTTTAAATATAAAAATAGCCTTTATACTCTATATTTTTTGTTAATTTGGTATTTAAAAGAAAAAAAAATATCAGTTTGATACTCAAACTTTCATTCTGTTATCTATTTTAGTATTTTGGAATAATATCATTAGTCAACTTATTGATATTACATAAACAACTAATAATATGTTGACACATGCCAAAAGTCCAATTAGCGCCATGTCATCAATTACCATTTCAGCATTAATACAAAATTTCAAAAACAGTTCTAAGATTTGAAAAAGGTTTTTAAAAATTATAAAAATTTTAAAAAATATGAAATATTTTTAGAAATTATAAAAATTTTACATTTTTTAAAACTTAAAAAATAAAAAAAATCTCAAAATTTTAAGAACGATACAAAAAGATTAAAAAATTTTTGAAATTAAAAAAATTCACAAAAAACATAAAAAATTGAAAATAAAAATCTAAATTTTTTTTAAAAAATCTAAAAATTTATTAGAAAAATTCTTAAAATTTTAAAAAATTATGAAAATTGAAAATCTAAGAAATTGAAATATGCAAAAAATTAAAAAAAAATTCTAAACGATTAAAAATAATAAAGCTTAGAATATTAAAAGAAATATAAAAAATTCATAAAATATATTAAAATTAAAATTGTAACATTAAAAAAATTAAAAATTTTCATATTTTAAAAAAAATTTTACAAAATTTTTAAATTTTTCCATAAAATTTAGATTTTTAATATTTTTATTTTTTAAATTTTTGTGAATTTTAAGAAAATTTTATTTTATTAAAATTTTTATTTTTTGAAAATTTCAAAAACTTTTTTAATTTTTTATATTTTTCATTAAAATTTTAAGATTTTGAGATTTTGAGTTTTTAAGTTTTCATATATATATATATATATATATAATATTTTAATATTTTCTAGTTTTTTAAAATATTTGAGATTTTTAAAAAATTTAAGATTTGTTTTTGAAATTTTGTGAATATTTTAAAATTTTTTCAATGCTGACATGGTGATTGGTGATGTGGTACTAGTTAGATTTTTTGATACGTGTTAACATCTTATTGGATGTTCATATTACATCAGTAAGTTGACTAACAACGCTAGTCTCAAATACCAAAATAAATGACGGAATGAAATTTGGAGTACCAAATTAAAAATTTTATTTATTTAAGTACTAAACTGACAGAAAATATATAATACATGAGACATTTTTATATTTAGTCCAAAAGATTTTAATATAAATTAATCATAATTATGTATTAATATATTAAATTAAAGAATTAAATAAAAATTTTATTAATATAGCATATATAAATATAAATTAATATAAATAATAAAAAATATTTTTATATATACTTATAGTTAGATGGAACATTTTAAACTCATTTTCAATCCTACCACTATTTTTAAGAAGAAAAAATTGACATGATCTCGAATTGAAATAAAATCTATTTATTAAATTGGGACAAATTGAAACTCATTCAATATATATTGTTTTGTCATCATTTACTCTATTGATTTTTTTTTATATAAAATTTATCCTATTAAAAAATTCAAAAATAAAAAAAAAACCAAAACAAAAGGAAAAGAAACCAATACAGTGCCATATAAACAGTCTCTTTTTTTTAAAAAATAAAATTTATTGTATAAATTAAAAAACTAAAACTAAAAAAAAAATGAAACTAAAATCAGCAAAAGTTCAAAATAAAAATTCGGATATCTTGTTGATACCTCTATTAATATCATTTTTTTTTTAAACAAAATCAACTAATTAAAAAAAAGAATTTATCGAAACAATGAAAAAATAATAAAAAAATGAAATCACCTCACACAAAATTTTTAGAAAAATAAAAATAAAAAAATTCATTGAGTGGCATGTGACACTCAAATAAGTAAAATTAACATATAAAATTTTAAGAATCGAAGTGTTACACCTATAAGAATAAAAATAATGAAAATATTCAGTAAGTGCGAGTACCGGTGGAATAAGATAAAGTGAAGACCATTTAGCATGTCCTACCATTGACTCGGATGCTTAACGGATTGTTTCATGTACGTTTTGCGCTAAAGTACTGAAATCTATCACGATTCACAATATTTTGACAGAACTAAGAGAAAGTTTGGCTGTAAACGAATGATTACAAGGGATAGGGATCGAAGGGCCACTGCAAAAAATTGGTCGAGATTATTTAAAATATTTTTGATAAAAAATATTTTTAATAATTTTTTCATAAAAATTAAATAAAAATTATTTAAGATATTTTTAACAAAAAATATTTGTAATAATTTTTTCATAAAAATTTTTAAATATTATTTAAGATATTTTAAAATAAAAATACTTTGAATAAATCAATTTATTTTTTTAAAAAATTATTAAAAACATTTTTCATACCAAATGTCATGTAAATTAAATTTTTTATCAGCAAAAATTTACAATTAAATTACATTCGTTTTTACACATGTTTTTTAAAATAATAATGATTATTTTATAATTTTTTAATCAAGTTAAATTTAAAAATAACATTAATTTTTTTTAATCTTAAAATATCACAAAAAAAATAAATTTTTTATTTTAAAATTTTAAAATTAATTTTTTTCAAATAAAAAATTTAACTATCTTCAATAAAAAATCCTGGCTTGAGGGTAACCTTCTATATAATACCTTAGATGAAGACAGAAGGATAAAGAGATTTTTTGTTACAATTTTCACATATTAGCAGTTTTGGACATAGGAAGCTGATCAAAATTTGCAGGGGTCCATCCCACCGCTTGTTTCTCATTGTCATAGATCACCATTCTGTCTTGCATTGATATGTATGTTCAAATCACAAAAATGGAGGAAGTTATCATCACTATGGTAAATCAGCTATTAAGCATTCTTACTTGGTTTACAAACTCTTGCCTCCAATGATATTTAAATTTTGCAGCCCTACTTGTGTTCCATTTAGAATTCCCAAGCAAACATTTCCCTTATTC